ATCACTTGGTAGACTTCCAGATGGTCTTTCAGCATTCTGCTTTGCAATCTAGGCTAACTGATTTTCCAGACTCTTACAAGATACAGCCAAATTCTTAATTGCATTCTGCACAGAAATCCATTCATCTTCCCTTGGTATGTATCGCTGATTAGAACGCTATTGATTTTGATAATTGGGAGGTTGGCCGTCTTGTCTCTGAAATCCTGGGAGTTGAGTAGGCCTCTGATAGTTTCCTTGTTCTGGTGCATTATTCCAGTTGGGGGGCTGCTGGTTTCTCCAATTGTTGAAGTTGTTGAATCCTCCAGCATTGCCCTGCCTAACAAACTGGACAACCTCCATTTTGGATGGACAGTTATCCAAATTGTGAGATCCATCACATAATACACACACTTCAGCCTTGGATTTGGATAGCTCACTCCTCAGTTTTGTCATCTCATTCATCATCATAGCCATCTGTGCTTGCAAGTGTGTATTGGGGTCAAGTTCCATCACTCCTGGCTGCTTTGTACTTGCTCTTGGATCAGATTTCCACCTTGAATGATTGGTGGTCATATTATCAAGCATTGCCTTGCTGTATCAACCGGCTTCATCATAAACACACCACCAGCTGCAGCATCAAGGGAGTCTCTTGTGGCTGGTAACAAACCATTGTAGAAGATGCTCAGTTGGAGGTGCTCTTCCAAACCATGCTGAGGGCATTTCCTGATCATTTCCTTCAATCTTTCCCATGCTTCATAGAGGGTTTCAGTTCCATGCTGCTTGAAATTCATTATTGCAGTTCTGAGTTGTGCAGCTTTTGCAAGTGGAAAAAACTTTGTAAGGAAGCCTTGTCTTAACTCTTCCCAAGTGGAGATAGAATTGTTGGGCAATGTGTTGAACCATGCTTGGGCGTGATCCTGCAAAGTAAAAAGAAATAACCTCAATCCAATGTCATCATTGGATAAACCTTGAATCTTAAAAGTACTGCATAAATGCAAGAAACTTCTTATATGATCATTAGGATCTTCATGAGGTAATCCATGAAATGGGCAGACTGATTGAGTCCATTGGATCATCTGTGGTTTAACTCAAAATTGGTTGCCTCCACATCAGGGAATACTAATGGGGATTGGACTTCTTCTTGTTGTGGAATAAAGAAATCTCTGAGCAATCTCTCAGGTTGATTTTGTCGATCACCACCAGGGTTCCTATTGCTCTCCGGGTTACCACCTTGGTTAGCCATTTCTGATGAACCTTCTTGGGGTTCTGTTGCAACTGATCTTGCTTTCTCTTTGCTGCTCTGGCTCTGCGTATAGTAGCTTCAATTTCCAGATCAAAAACTTGTTCACTTCGTTGGTGCCTTCTAGTCATACACCATAGAAAATAAATTAAAAGCTCAGACGAATTACCAGAGAAAGATTATTCACAAATGAAAGAATAACAACAAATTTTTGGAGGTTTTACACTGTCCCCGGCAACGGCGCCACTTTCTGGTGTGTACCGAGTGCACCAAAAATAAATACTAGCTGGATTATAATTTTTGTAGATAATGGAAGCTAGATCGATCCCACGAGGACAGCTAAATCACCTAAATTATTGTTAACAGACTACCAGTTCAGACAAGATGTCACTCAGGGGAATGAAAACGTTCACTCAGGGGAATACAGACCAGGGGTGTTCACCTCCTCTTCCTGTTGCAGTAGTTGTGTAATTAGCACTTTAATGGTTAAATTCCTGTTCATTCAGCTCAGATGTAACTCTAAGCCAGTTTCCATTTTTCCTAGAGTCATCTTTGTAACTTTAACAATCTATTTTCCAATGATTGAGTCCAGTTATAAAATCATTAAGATTTCAGGAGTATATGAATGCTCATGTCAACCAAGTATATTCCCATCTTAGTTAAAACCATAGATTGTTACCTCTATGTCACAAGTTGCAGTTGAAACAATCCAAACCAAGTTTATCCTTCTAGATTTCCCTTAGTTCTAGCATGCATCCAATTAGTGATCAACTAACTGAATGTAGAAAAAATTCCAAGTTCAAAACATGGAACAAAACCAGTGCATTACAACAACTACAACACAGGTTGAGGAGATTAACCCCTGGAAGTTATTTAGCTACTCATACTGGGTGATGCTATTGCTACTACTTCAACAGACATCATAGAATTATGCCTCAATGAAATGAAATACAAGCTAACAGTTAAGAGAAGAAGGCAACTTATTCAATTCAAGGTGTCACTCCTGGGAGTGACATAGTTCACTCAGGGGAGTGAACCAGTAACTGGGATGACTGTTCTTCAACTCTGCCTCTTGCTGAGTTGTTGTTATTCTTCCTTACTCTTGCCTTCCTTCTGGAGTTTCTTTGTGTGCTCTAGTCGACTGAGAGAGGCAGAGATAGATCATCCCCCCTGGAAATGCAGCTCCCCTTTTTTATAGAGCCTTGTTCCCGTTCCTCTCCCTAGAGAGCTATCCCATGCTTGTGTAATTTTTTATTTCCCCAATGCTTTGTGTCTTGGACCCCAAATTGACTGGTCTCTTGCCCATTCTTCCAGCAATGGTATCAGCAGCAACATTGCTCAATGTGGTTGGCTAGTTCTCCATTCAAGGGGACAAGCATGCTCTTTAGTTTCTATTGTGGGATACCTTTATCAACCCCCAATGTATCTTGTGTCTTGGAGTTTCTTTTTGACCAGCTCAGCCCATGCTCCTCAATTCTGAGATCAGCAGCCCAATTATTGCTCCATAAGCCCTCAATTTTCATCACTTGTTCACTCAGGTCCATCCCTTCACAAAAACATAAAACTTACTAAGTAATGTGAAATAATTCTAAGAAACACCCCCAAATTTTCAACTAATTAGAGAGTAAATTGTCTTGCTTTTATATAACAATTTGACCGTTATCAAAACTATAAGTTAACTATGCATCTATACAAAAGTATATCAAGATCCAAGCAAAAGTTTGATAGAACTTGACAATTCAGGATCCGATGTCACTAAAAGAAAATCTTTACTATACCATCTTCATTTTTCTATGCTATATATCACCTTCACTTTAATTCCTGATGAGTTTCTTAAATTCAACTAAATGGTTCTTACTCGAGACTTGCGGGCATCAACAACAATACATTTGCAGGTACAAACCTTAGAAACAAAATTCTTCACATTTCTTTTAACAGCTTTAAGACAAATTGAAAAAACTCTCAAATGTTTTTAGCTCATGTTGTTCTTATCTAAATTTGAAAATTGCAGTCCATAATGTTGGGTTTAAAACTGGCATTGAATATTTCAAATACACTTAAGATCATTGATATATACAAAAGTAAAGAATAATTTAATTAGAATTTTGTATTAATTTATCTTTTTATTTTTTGTGTTACATGAATTTGTATTAAAGTTACTCTATTAGAATTTTGTTACCTGTACGTAATGTCTGCCCGTGTAATAGCATAATTATACATTTTTAATTTCTTTGTAGGTACTTTGATATCTTCTCTTATAATAGTTATATGCATTATTCTCCTCGTAAAACAGCACATGCATTTATCCTTTACATTCGAGTATCAATGATTTTGTATTAATTAGTTACACACGTTATCTCAGCCATAGAAAATATTAAGTGTTTTGGGGGGAAAAACGTTAGATGATAACCATTAAGTTCACAATCTTTAATTATTTATTCATTTTATTAGTTTTTTGAGTTTTCGAAAAGACTGATGTTGATTTCTTTCGGTAATATGCTTATAAAAATTCATGATCTTGGGTTAAAATGCCATAGAGTAAACCAGAAAACTTATTCACAAATTTTCGTTCATTAACAAAATACATATTTTAATTAATTTTGATGAAATATTTGTAGGGATTTGACTATGTTATCCGCATATTACCCAAAATATCGTATCCGTACAATGTGCTGTGTATGCTTTTTGTATTTGTAAGTAATCCGATTAATGAACATGAGATGAATCAAGTTTTTCTTCATTAAATATTTGAATTGGAGAATAGCTTCAATTGTCTTTAAAATAAATAAATAAAAACCAACAAAAAAAAGAAGAATATCTTGAGTTTTACCAGTACTGATGATGTTACAAATGAATCTTTCACTATATATAGCCCAACATAGTGTTAAATATTTAGTTATTTTTTCCACGGATTAGCTGAGTACTATTTAATTTTTCACAAGAATACTTACACATTAATTTAGTACTATTTTTTACATAATTCCATGGATGGAATTTATTGTATCTGTGACTTATGAAATTAAATTCATAATATATTCAATGCAGATTAAAACTACTTCCACGAATTAATTAGAACTCATTGGCTAACCATTCCATCCTAGTGAGTTCAAGAACTTGTTAAGTTTGCCTCCCAAATTAGCTTATAGCTTCTAACATTTTTAGCCTATTTTCTCTTGCCTTCAATTCAAAATGGCCAATTAATTTATTTCAGCCAATCTATGTTTAAAAGTGAAGGAGATTTGAAGAACCAATCATGCATATATTAACTTTTCGTATTTTATTTATTCTTTTGTTTATTTTGAAAAGATAATCAACGTTGATTCTGGCCTTTTTTTTTTACACAGAAAATATTATTTTCTCATGTAAGATGAACATAAACTAAAAAATACACACGAAGTCATGATCATACCCTAAAAACCAATTTTTGGGCGGGCGGTCTGCCTTACAAGTAATAGAGGAGTCCATCGATTTTCCCGGCAATACTCCTCCTCCGGCTAGGATAAGGGTTTTTAAACTAGTTAAGGATGGTAGTGTTGGGAGGAAGACTCGCCAAGAACCTCCTCACCACTCTCAGGAGCATTCCCATACGTAGTCTTGCTATGGCTACTCGTACCCGTCGCCCTTCTCGTACTCGTTGCCCACCTGCTACAGCTACGTGTATCCTGATAGTTCATTATGGCATCCGCCTTCTAAATTCTCATTGCAACATCTTGGACAATTGTGTCCAATTATAAGAAATCAGATCGGTCCATCATGTCAATCTCTTGTTTTTTGTGCACGCATGGAACAACAGATTTGGAAACATTATAAGGGTGAGGTTATGCTTGATAACCTTGAGCTTTCAAAGGCGGGTTTGATCTTTGGTCCTGAGATAAAGGTGGATGGCCCGAACGCCAATGTATCTCGCCCTACGGTGAAGTATTGGCGGCATCCTGAAGAACCATCATCCTATCTCTTTAGGCATGGAGTATCCACAAAATTATTCCCAAAAGTGCATTGGTGTTTTATTGGAGCTTTGGACTCATGGTATAAAGTGTAGCCCTTTTACTGACTATGAATTAGTCAGGGCGATCAGAAAACAACCAGTTGTTATTTCGTATTTTTCAGTCAGAGTTGTCATGTTCAAGCGAGGTGAAGACTATTACTATTATCAACCATATGATTCACCTTGGATAGTGAGCAAAGATTGTCACAACGTCCTTGCTATTGGATGGAAGGAACTGTATGGAGAATTGTACATTTAATTCTTGGGAAACTGATTGGGGAAATGGGGGAATTGGTTATCTCCATTTCTCTTCTTGTTTAATCAAGTCTTCATTAGTGATTCCTGGAATCAAAGAAGATTTTTATCCCTTCGTGGGGAAAGTGGAAAGCACTAATGCAAAATTTATAGTTTCAAAGCAAAAATCTACCCCTAAAAAGGCTGGTTGCAGTCGGAACTCTATTCAATCTCGGAAGTTCTCTTGTGGATGTTTGGATGCTCGTGATATGGATAAGGTCAATCATCAGCTAGGCATGAGGAATAGTAGTTCTCAAGTTATGAAGCATGGGGTTATCTCGAGTGATTATCTACCGAAGAGGGTAACTTAGAAAAAAGAAAGCATGAACTGAGAGTTTTGGATGGAGATGGAATCATATCTTTTGATGGTGTAGATGAGGGTGATTCTGACACTGATTTCGATAGTCAAACATAATCAGATTTGGAAATTTATGAGCAAGTAGGACTTTATGCAAATCTTGCACAAGAATTACGGATGTATTCTAGGGAGCCTAAAGTTTCACCTTTGCCAGCAATGCTTGTAGATGGGGAGCGCCAGATTAGCTATCAGGCCCCTGACGAAGCTCAAGAAGAATCTAAGAAAAGACTACAAGCACTAGAAGGCCATGAATCGGAGGAAGGATTAAGTTCAGAGGGCTCAGAAAGCCAATGAGCCATTGTGGCGGAGAATCATTGGGCATTGACATTAATATAATCAGCAGCAACACTGGGTTCAATAATTAATGTCACTAGAATGTGTTATCAGCATGGCTTTAAATTATCAGTCCTTGTAATTGGAGAAGTGTTATCTATTAGCACTTGTTGTCTTTAAATCGAGTTAGAACTTTGATAATACCTGGTGTTGTTTGTTTATTGCCATGAATGTAAATTAATGACTCCTGACTGATTTTAAGGCAAACTGTTGTAAACTTTTTTCTAAAAATAAAAGGAACATAAACTAAAAACAAAGGGAGATAACGTGGTTGTAACTTGTACGCCATGAGCTATACTGATGACAAATATTAACTACATAACTAAATGACAACAATGATGATACTCTTGGCCCATCTTAATAAGTAGGAAATTCTTATATTAATACTCAATACCGAAAAATGGGGGGCAAATAGAAAATGAAAAAGAAAATCATTGCTTCAGCGGGTAAAAAGATCTGTATTCACACTTCCCTGTTTACTACAATTTTTCCACAAATTATACCAATTATTGTTGACACTGAGCATGCTTGCGGGATGATGTTCCAGACCTCGTGACTAATGGCATTGTCTGTGTGAATTATCCCAATAATGGTGAAAGTTATCGGATACATTCTTTTAAGATATGTCATCCTAATACAATCTCGCATTCACAAGAGTTCAGTAGTAAGGGCGAATAGTTTCATGAGTTCATCCATGAGCCTTCAAAATACTACTATGGACCCCTCGCCCCGTCTAGTCGTGAGATTGAGTTTCGTGATCTTGTTGGAAACAGTCTCGGAAGGTTGTCCCCATGTGATGGGAAACGCATGGAACATCTTAGGGTGATCCAGAGTGAGTATGATAAATTGGAGCAGAGATTTGCGCTAGATGAACTTGTTTACGAGAAATCCACGACTGAACATAACGAGCTATTGCAAAAGTTTGATGTGCTCAGTGTCAAACTCTATAACATGCGATGTGATATTGTGAATGGAGATGTTCAAGTTGATGGAGTTGGTGAAGGTGCCAAGGAGGAGGACACTACAGACCAGAAAGGTGTGCCTAATTTTTGGGTCATGGCATTGAAGAATAATGATAAGATACCTGCAATGATAACTAAAGATGATGAAGTTTTCCTTAAATATTTGAAAGATATAAAGGTGTCTATGGTTGACCAGCACAAGAGCTTTATTCTAGAATATGCCTTTGACATCAATCCCTTTTCCAAGAACTCAATGCTGACATAAAAGTGCCGCATTGGCCATTTCAAGGAGAAAGGATTTGGGACAAATATTGAATGGTACAATGGAAAGAGCTTAACTCTGGTAAATACCAAGAATGCAAATGGTGGAAGTTTTTTTAACTTCTTCAATCTAGTGTTATAGCATGAACAAGATAAGGACTCTCTGTTATTATAATATTATGTCATTGGTTCCATTATTTCGTGATGACATAATTCTTCATGCCGTTCCTTGGTTCATAGAGAAGCTGTCCTAACTAAGTTCTATTCATACAATGATGTAGATGATGAAAGCGGTGAAAACACATATAAGGATGACTAGAAAGATTACAAGAAGTGGTTCGGTGTTTCAATCTTTCAAGTGGCTCGAGTTGTGAAAAATGTTTTATCTCCATTAATTTGGTGGCATGTTTCGCTTTCTTTCTTGGTTGGTAAATCTATTGGTCCAACAGTTTGGAATGTTGATGAAATTTGATGGATTCTAAAGTAAGGCTTATAAGAATAACCTTGTATGTAATTAAAGTAAGGCTTATAACATTGCATCTGCCATTGCCACCATAAATTTTTCATTTGAGGTAGCCTTTCTGAATGTCGTTTCTCTCCATCTTGGTAGGAATCTGAGGTGCATTATTTTTATTAGAAGCCCCTTAAATGGGAAGTTCTAGCTAAGAAAAAAAAAATACTCAATACCAATTAATTTTGAGGTCAGCATAAAGTCTTTGAAATTTATCAGACTTCAATAGACTTTGATTACAATTGATACACATATATATAAGGCTGTACATAACAAGATAGAACAAGAGATAACTCCCAACAACTATACATGTGATCCTCTAATCTGATAACTACAACACGCCCCCTCAAACTGACGACGGTAATTGCTGAAGTCGAAGTTTGTCAAAAAAAACGAAGAAAGAGAGGCTTTGCTACGGGTTTGGTTAGGATGTCCGCAAGTTGATCAGCCACGGAAATGTTGCGGACAGTGACAAACCCTTAATGAACGTGCTGCCGGATGAAGTGAAAATCAACTTCAACATGGCGAGTTCGAGCTCGAAAAGCCGGATTTGAAGCGAGGAAGACAGCTCCATTATTGTCGCACCAAACATTCGGAGGAGCTTTCAAAGGAACTCCAAGCTCAGACAGAAGATGGCAGAGCCAATGCAATTCAACACATACATTGGCAATTGATATGAATTTGGCTTCAGTGGAGGAACGAGCCACAGTTGGCTGCTTCCTGGAGGTCCAAGCAATCAGATTTGAGCCGAAATAAATAAGGAATCCTGTTGTAGATCGCCGATCATCAGGACATCCGGCCCAATCCGCATCAGTGAAGGATGAAATTGAATGCGACGGTGACGATTGCAGAAGCAAGCCCCGATCAACTGTCCCACAAAGTTATCTAATAACACGTTTCAAGGCTTGGAGGTGGATCATTGTTGGATGATGCATAAATTGACACAACTTGTTGACAGCAAAGCAAATATCGGGCCGAGTGAGTGTCACATATTGAAGGCTACCACACAACCTCCTATAAAGGGCAGCATCATCCGGTGACAGGGAATGACCATCAGCACGAGAAAAAACCAAGCCCGGTGCCATGGGAGTGGAGCAAGGTTTGCAGGTCGACATGTTGGCAGAGTGAAACATATCGAGTAAATACCTGCGCTGGGATAAAACCAAGCCATGCTTGTTGGTGAAGAACTTCAATGCCAAGGAAAAATTCAATTTTCCAAGGTCACGGATGGCAAACTCGGCACCAATGTGATTGATAACCGTCTGTAGAAACGAAGTATTATTCCCTGTAATCACAACATCATCTACATATACCAACAAGAAACACACACACTTGTGAGAGGAATAGATGAATAATGATGGATCACAGCGAGAATTGCGGAAATTGAGGGACAGTAGAAAGTTACTCAGCCAAGAAAACCAAGCTCGGGGTGCTTATTTGAGTCCATATAAAGATTTGTTGAGCTTATAAACATGGTGTGGTCGGAGAGGATCAATGAAGCCTTGTGGTTGCACCATATAAATAGTTTCTTGCAAGGTGGCATTGAGAAACGCATTGCTAACGTCCAGCTGCAAGATCAACCAAGAGTGATTCACGACCACCGCAAGAACTGTCCGAATGGTGATGGGCTTAATTACCGGACTGAACATGTCGGTATAGTCAACACCAAATGTTTGAGTGAAGCCCTTCGCAACCAACTGAGCTTTGCAATGATCCAAACTGCCATCTGGATGGATTTTAACTTTATACAGCCATTGGTTGCCAACAACATGGGCTAAGGGATGAGGCGGGACAAGAGTCCAAGTTCCATTCTTGTGAAGAGCATCAATTTCCTTACGCATGGCTTCCTGCCAAAGCGGTTGAGATTTGGCCTGCAAAAAAGATAAAGGAGCCACTGGAAGTTTCGAGATAACGGAAGTATGATGAGCAAATTTTGATTTGGCAAGAGTGGAGGGGCGGAGATTCATTGGATGAGTGCGAGTAGGTGGCGGATGAGGCTGGGAAGAGGAAGAGGAGTCATCAAGATCGACGACCAGATGGAGGCCGCGACTAGGGGATGAGCGAGGAGAAAGATGACTCAACAACTGAGATGGAAAGGACAAGTCACTGACGGGAATAGGAGAGTCGGGAGAGTCCAAACAAGGGTTAGGGTTAGGAGAAGAGTAGTTAGGGTTTGCGACGGAAGTAGTTAGGGTATGCGTCGCGGATGATGTGTGTTCGGGGGCAGTAGGGTCAGAATCAGGCGAAGAACCTGAAGGAGGAGAGGCAACGACTGGAGAAGAGGAGGAAGGAGTGGGATTACTGGTAACGGGCGAAGGATTAGAAAGGGAGACTTGAATAAGGGGAGGAGGGGAAACAATTTGACGCGATGGTAGAGAAGGAGAGGAAACGATCGCAGTGGACTGAGAAAACGGAAAAATGGACTCATCAAATTGAACATGACGGGCAATATAGATTTGATTGGTAGTTAAATCAAGACATCTATAGCCCAAATGATTAGGAGAGTAACCAAGAAAAATACACTTTTGAGTCCTGAATGAGAATTTGTGACGATTATATGGACGTAAATAGGGGTAAACAGCACATCCGAAAACTTGTAAGAAAAAAAAATCAGGAGGCTGATTGTAGAGAACCGTGTTTGGAATTTTATTTTGGATGGAAGATGAGGGAATCCAATTAATGAGAAAGACTGCCGTTTCAAAAGCAAATTCCCAAAATTGAAGGGTGCACTAGAGTGGCCTAAAAGAGCAAGACCGATATCCACAATTTGGCGGATTTTTCGTTCGGCCGTTCCATTTTGTTCGTGTGTGTGAGGACAAGCAAGACGGTGAATGATGCCTTGGGTTTTGAGGAAAGTGTTAAGGGAGTGGTGTTCGCCCCCAATTAGAAAGAACCGATTTGATAGTGGTTTGAAATTGTTTTTCGACAAGAATTTTAAATTGCTGAAAAATAGAAAGAACATCACTTTTTTGTTTAATTGGAAAATACCAAGTGAACAAGGAAAAATCATCAATAAAGAGAACAAAATAGTGATAACCATGATGAGAAAGTAAAGGTGCAGGCCCCCAAACATCGGTATGGATCAAGTCTAGGGGCTTGGAACTACGATGAAAAGTCAAACGAAGACTACTACGATGCATTTTGCCTAGACAACAGGTAGAGCATTTTTCGGAAAAACGTTTAAAAGAGCTACATGGTAATTGAAATTTATTGACTAACTGCCTAACAGTGTCATAGCTAGGATGACCTAAACGGGCATGCCACCTCTCCAGATTGGCAAGAAATGCTGTTGGTGATGGAGATTGGGGAGAGGACCGACCACCAAACTTATAGAGGCCATGCTCAGTTCCTCCGCGCAGGAGTGTCGCCTGAGACAATCGATCCTTAACAAGACAAGAAAAAGGGTGAAACTCAATAGAACAATTATTATCACGACAAAGTTTTTGAACAGACAGAAGAGGCTTGGTGAGAGACGGAACACACAAGACATTTTGTAACTTAAGATTTTTTTGAGGAGTAGAAAGAATAGACTGACCAACATGTGTGATAGGAAGAGATGTACCATTGCCAACGGTGAGCTCATCAGGGCCATGATATTCATTGGAGATGCTCAAGGAGGAAAGATCCGGAGTGGCATGATGAGTGGCACCAGAGTCGGGATACCATGGAGCATTAGATCCACCTGAAAACGGGGCAGCAAGATTAGCTTGAGGCGGATGAAGAAGCAGGCAATCAGAAGTAGGGTTGAGAGCCGGGGTCCGAGGAACAAAGTTGTGATCAAATCGGCGCTGACAAGTAGCAGCCGTATGGTTGGAATAACCACACAATTGACACGCACCACCACCAGGCGAACTACCAGGACCGGTGACATAACCACGACGCCCACCACCACGATTATTACGGCCGCCTCGAAAACCCCTGCGCGAAAGACCGCGACCGCCGCGAGAAGAGGAGCCTGTGTGTGCATTCGTGGAGTGCGCGAGAAGGGCGGATGGTGGCGGTGGTTGTTGAGATTTCAACAGCAATTCATAAGCAACCAATTGACTCAATAATTCGGGAAATGCAACCGGATCGGAGCGCCGTTGAAGGGCACCAATAATGCCATTAAACTCAGACCCTAATTTGCGATAAATAATCCCATTAAATTCAGCCGGAGGGATGGCATGACCGGCCATAGCAAGGGAATCAGCAAGAGATTTTGCCTTATGAAGGAACACCGAAACGGACATGTCGTCATTGGAAAGATTGTGAATTTCCAAAACAATTTGGGTTTGCTAGGCATGAGAAAGCAACCCATAACTCTACTCCAACACAGTCCACGCCTGAGCAGAGGTAGAAACTCCTTGTAAACTCGGAAAAATCGATTCCGAGATGGAGGAGAGAATCCAAGAAAGGAGCAACTGATCTTTTTGCTGCCAAAGAGTAAAGGCAGGGTTTGGTTGCAAAGTTTGAGTGGCGGGATCAGAGATGGTAGGGGGAGGAGCAGGTTCGGACCCATCAATAAGAGATTGAAGGTTTAACATTTTGAGAAGTGGGGTAAATTGAAGCTTCCAACTCGCAAAGTTTTCACGCGAGGAGAGCTTGATAGCAAAGGATTGGTGAAGAGACGACACATTGGTCGTGAAGGAGAAGAGAGAAGGAGCGGAAGCAGTGGTAGTAGTCCCCGAAGACGAAGAGAAGATCGACGGGGAAGAAACCGCAGATGAAGCAGCGGCGGACATAGTGGCACAGGAAAAAGAAAAAGAAGATAAGGAGGAAAAAAAGAGGCCGAGGAAGGAGTTTACAGCGGCGGCGGAAGAAAGAAGGAACAGAAAAAAAAATTTGCAGAACAACCTTGATGTGTTGGTTTCTGGTGTTTGTTTTGTGCGGCAGAACAAGTAGAGAAGCGGCAGCGGTGAAAGCAGAAGTGAAGGAGAAAAGTGCCGGCCAAGAAGAAAAGAGAAAAGAGAATAGATTTTTTTCGTTTGTAAAAAAAAACTGGTGTGATACCAACTTAAAGTCTTTGAAATTTATCAGACTTCAATAGACTTTGATTACAATTGATACACATATATATAAGGCTGTACATAACAAAATAGGAACAAGAGATAATTCCCAACAACTATACATGTGATCCTCTAATCTGATAACTACAACACCCCTTGATGATACTTGGATCGGGAATCTCTTCAATTGCCTTTATAATATCCCATCACTCACAAATAAAATGGATTGATGGTTTGAGGGAAATACTGCAATTACCCTGCTGATAGAATCAAGAAATCGATGTAAATGCTTTCTAAAATCTGAATACTTGTTTTGTGCCAAATAGCTAAAAAACAGCATCATAATATACAATAATTTCAATGAAGAATTAAATTAGCAAATAACCCAGCACAAATTTTTTTTCGAATTTGGTGTCATTGCTAAAAAACTTAAGACAAATGAAAATACTTTTGAGGCTGATCATGGAATCACGAAACCGATAGAGCCTGATCACAACATCTGCATAATGAAATAGATGAAAAGTTATTACTACTAATTTCTTGAATACATTAACAACCGTAATCCGTTATGCATTAGTTAGCATGTGTTTACCATTATAACAACTCACTTATATTTATTGGAAGATATTAGAAATAGGATCAATCAAAATCACATACTCACAAACAAAATATAGACACTTTTAATGGATTTTGCCAAAGCAAACAAACATGATTAATTGATTTCACACCTTCCATCTCCATTAATAATCTTCGAACACATGTTGACAGAGAAGTTTAATTTCAAATCCCATGGAGTTTATTCTTTAGAAGAAACTGTCCAAAACAACTATTAAACTAAACTAACCAAAACATATTAATCCATTAACATATTAGATTGATCTTGTAATTTGAATTTGGAAGAAAAACCAAAAAAATTACCTTGCTACCGCTGGGGATCATTACGTAGACAATACCATGTTTCATTGTGAAACCATAATATGAAACTAAGAAAGAAGCAGGCGGCAAGTAGTCTTCAGTACCCTCACTCGGAGGGTAGGATTTTTAGGTTTATTCCAGCAAGATAATTAATTTGTCAAATGCTAAACAAATTCGTACTAGCAGCAAAAGGGGGAAAAAAAAAAAAGAAACAAAGAGCTGCAGGGGAAGATGACATGAGAAAAGGAGTGAGAGAAGTATGAGGAGAGAATATATAAACATACGATAGATTTTATTTTATTTTTTAATTTTAAGAGATTGAATTTTATTGGAGATTTAATTCTAAAATTATCTTAATGAGATCCTTTATAGGTTGATTTGCTTAATTTATGGGATATGATTTTGAGATATGATTTACAATAGTGCATTTATTTTTTTCCCCTGGATAATTAATTATCATATATAATGCATTACATTAGGGATTTAATGATTTCTGACCGATTATGATTTGATTTACCTATTTTAAATATTATTAAATTTGAAAGTGAATCCTTTTATTATGGAATATTAATTCAGTGCATTAATTTAATCAATTTTATGTAATAGTTGATTAGGGTATTCAGTATACACAAGGATTTTTAGCATTCATTTAATCAATAATTGCCACAATGGTTGATTGGGATATTATGACATGAAAACTATAATTATGAATAGTTCTTGGATATAATGTTAATTGATATAGAAAATTATCGTGAATGTGCTAAACCGATATTTTTCAGGGGCTATTAGCTAAATGTTGAATTTTTTTTCCTCCAATTTTTGAGAAATTGCCACGCAGGTGACGTAAAAACTCTCTTTAAAACCTGTCTCTGATTTTTCTCTTAGTAGAATACTTTAGATAGATTTTATAAATGCCTTTTTCTCCCTCCTTAGTATCTAATTTTTCGTAAAAATTTCCAAGAGTTTTTATTCTTTCATCACTTACTATTTTTTCACCTTTTTTTTAGCATTTTTATATTTTTCCATATTCTCGTCGCTCCTACAAGTGTATAATGATTTTAACAAGAATTTTTTCTCTTTTACTTTTTCTTAAATATCTTGATTCACCACGTTCTTTATTCCATTTATTAATTTTTGAACCTCTTAGTTATTTTTTTAGTATTTACTCCTATTTCTTTAGTTACCTTTTACCTCGATTTATTGGTTTCTCTTTCCATGTTCCAATTAACCTTTAAGTATCCTTTTCATTTTTGTTATTAAGATTCCACCATTTTATCTTAGGTATTATAGGTATTTTTCTCTTACATATATTGGTTATAATTCTTAGATCTATGGCTAGCAACCTATGTTGAGTTGTTATACACTCATCTGGGATTACCTTACAATCTTCACAAAATTTTCTATCACTTTTCTTAGTTAAAATAGTAATCAATTTGTCATTTATTAGAGCAGTTTTTATATGTAATCAAGTGTTTATCCATTTTCTGAAAATAAGGTGTTACATATGACAAAGTCATATGCCACCAAAAGGTCTAGTATAACTTTATGGTCTCATATCCTTCATATTCCTTCCCTACATGCATATTTAAATTCCCACCTATAAAGATTTTTATTTTTATTTTTATTTTTAGGGATTGATTGGACTAATGACTCTAAATCTTCCCAAAATTTAGTTTTAGTGGTTCACCTATCCTACTTGAGGCACATATAAACTAATTATATTTATGACTTCATGTTCTATTATAATCTTTAAAGTTATTAATCTATTCTCCTTCCTAACAACCCTCTACTACTTGATCCCTGAATAATAGATCTACTATAATATCTACAACATTCTTATTCCTATCTTTTCTACTATGCCAAAATTTGTACCTCGTCTTCTCTAAAACTTTGACCTTTCACCTATTCAATTTGTTTCTTGTAAATACATAAAATTTCCCGTCTTTTTCTCATGTATTTTACTATATTTAGAGATTTACTTGTTGACGACCTAATGTTCCAACTCCCTTTTTTACATGTTTTATTATTTCTATATTTATCCTTTAGTTGCTTTCTATGTTGGGCATTCATTTTTCCTAGTTCCCACTACTCCCAAACCTTTATGAGAATGCAGTGGTTGCCAAGAAGTGGAAAATTTATCTTGTAATGCATTCTTGGCGTACGGGGACCTCTTGCACATTTCAGTTCACACTACACCCAAATTCCCATGAAGATGTAACGATTCTTGCCAAGTTGATACAGTGGGACCCTGCGGCACGCTGTATGGGTGGCGTCCTTACATTTATACGATTTTTGCGGGATTTTTTTTTTCTATTATGCTTAAATAGGAAGGAACAAGGAAAAAAAAATCAGATAATAAATTGATGTTATACGAAGAAAAAAAGATCAAGGATCTAGGATTGGAACAAATTGATAGAAGAACATAAATCTAGGTTTGCATAATAACCGTCTAAGTAACCTAGACATAAGTCATGAAAGATGTGGTTTGAGTTATGGCGAAAATAAGTAAAAGTGGTTATGTGTGCTTGAAATGGTGAGATTAGTACCGAAAAATTATAAAACGAGATAATAACATTCTAGAAGAAAATTTTAAGAACTTAGAAAAATAGATATCACATCCGAAGAGCTCGGTTCGCCAATCCTATCCTATCCGAGTTCAAATTTATCCCTTGCACTTCGGAGAACACTTAAGGGAGAAAGACTCTAGGATTACATGTTCCACAAGTAAATAATACTTGTGAATTGTGATACTTAATAATCGTTATGCTCTTAATAAATGAATGAACGATAATGTTAAATAATAATTGGTGTTTGATAAAATTACTTCTGGAATTGGGGAAGAAATTGACTAAGAAGAAAGAGAGTAACTTGGAATTTCGTGGAACATCAGGGGTGTAAGAAACAAAAGTAAGAAACAAACAAGCACGGATAAAACGTAGTCCTCCTTCCTTAGATAAAAATTCTCCAATTTCCAGGTAGTTCATATTCAGAGTTCATACTTCTCTAATTTCCCTCTCCTCTGCAACCTTCTCATCCAAAATCCAATCTTTCCGTCTTCGAATTTTTTCTTCAATTAAATCCTAGAATTTGAAGATAATGGATTCGCTTTCCCTATCCCTCTCGACTACCCTATATTCTTCCTCACCTTCTCTCAGGCCTTTCCACAAACACTCTTCGACTTCAGTTTCCGTTCCTCTTACTCACAAGTATCCCATCGTCCCTTTGAAATGTTCTCACAGACCCAGTTCCGGAACCCGGGCCCTTAATTTGAATTCCAATGATTTCATTACTAGTAGCCCTGAAAATGCTGGGTTTTGGGCTACTGCGCCACCGCAGACTCCAGCAACGGCCATGAGGGGGGCTGAGGCTGATGCAATGGGGCTTTTGTTTAAGGAAAGGATTGTATTTTTGGGTAGTAGTATTGATGATTTTGTGGCTGATGCTATTATTAGTCAGCTAATGTTGTTGGACGCCCAAGACCACACTAAAGATATTCGGCTATTTATTAATTCCACTGGTGGTTCTCTCAGGTACCAATTTTTCCTTTGAAGATTTTGTTTTGGCTTTATTAAGGTAGTAATATTTTGCTGAAAGTTTCCCACGTTGAAGGGATTATGGTGGAAAAATCGTTCATTGCATCACTGCATTGTGTTTGTATACCCGTTTTGATGTGAAATTGTTATAGCTACTTTTATTACTGAGTAAAATTTTCTATTCCTGTCAAGTTATTTGGTCTGTTGATATAAATAGTATCGAAAAGGAACTATTACTTCCATTGCTTTTGTCTTTAGAAATATCCCTGCACTTAGAAAGTTCATGGCTTCATTGTTTTATGTTAGGGTTAATCGAATTAATAGCAAAAGGAACTGTTATTATTTTTGGGATTTAATGAAAGGGTTGGAACATTGTTGATTGTGAAATTGTTATATTACAAATAATTATTGGTCAAACCCCTTAAGAAATCAGTTGAGGTTTACTTGGGGCTCCCCTTTGGTAATCAGTAAGTGGCATTAAGATAAAGACTCCCACCTCACATTGAAGTTCTGGTGACAATTTCAAGTACAGATAGTTCGGATATCATCTGATGGTGTCAGAAAACACCATTTACCGTTATTCTAATAACGATTTTTAAACCTTTTGAGTGTCAATGATTTTCCTGTGGACTTCCGGCTATAAGTGGGTTTTATTAGGGGCGGCATGGGCATTTAAGTACAGTAAAGTTTAATTAATCCATGGTTCCATTTCCTTGGTGAAGTTTGATGTCCTTGATAGTTTGCTGCTATCTTATGTAATCTTTGGGTAAATTTAACGAGCTTGCTAGTCAAAGATGGTTTAGTTTGAAAATGGGCGATGAAGTAATTTTGGGTTCCAAGTTTTACTGGTAATTGTGCATGTTTCCACAAATTGGCTGTTAACTATCTTACTGTTGATGAAATGTTTTCCCTCTATCTTCTTGTTACTATTGTTCAAAATTCTTGAATGCACATAGCATCATGGAATCTTTCATTGAATGAAGAAATACTCCCTTTGTGTTGAACTTTTGCTCCCCCTTACTTGATGTCCAGATAAATGAGGCATCAGTAATTAGCAGAAGCAGCTACCTTTTTAATTCATGGATGCGTGCTCATGGGGCATCACTAATTTTGGACCTTTCTTGTTTGACAAGGCATTTATATAGTATAGAGATGTCACATGTGGATCCTGTGAGAGGACTTTGTTCTAAGTTGCATTTTCTAAGTTTGCATATCTTACTATTATTATGAGTTTATAATTTAGGATAAAGTGTTAAATGGCGGCTGAAATTGAAGTATTGTGAGACGCATTCGGTGTATGGGAGGATGAACACTTTCTGTCCGCCTATTCGTATATAACTGTCCTAGGATGGTTTTAAAAAGTAAAATGTTTCAAGATCAGATTGAGTTGGGAGAGATGAAATGAATTTAGACTGTTGTTATGTGTATGACGTTTTTGTGACAACCTGTCCTAGTAAATGAAATGTTTAGTCTTTTACCAAGTGCTTCGGTAAATACAAGTACCCTGAAAAAAAATGGGAAGTCTCCTGGTAGTGGTACCATCAGTGAGATCTAGTTTATAGTTATTGGTTCTGCTGATAGGACAGGAAGCAGAAACTATACTTTTCTGCTGGTGATGAAGTTCAATTAAGTTGAAGAGTTACTTGTTTACCCTGTTAGAATAACTAGAGCGGTCAAAATTTAGGAGTCAAGAAAAGGTCTGCATGAGGCTCTACGATATATCTATGTTGTTGAAAATTCAGCATGGATTATCTTCTTAAGAATCTTGGCTGGATTCATTGTTTGGCCTTAAAATGTTCTGTGGAACAATATTGCTGGTTTAACTTTGTTGCCTGTAGTATTTGTAACAGGTGTGGGATAGTTAAGGATTTCTTGCTGTTGTCTGCGTTTGGAATAGATCATTAGCCGGTCATAAGAAATATCATTTACAGTATTTAACCAAAAGAGCTATTACATTGAGACTTTCAGAGAACCCTATTCTTACTTTGTTCTTTCTTTTTTTGCTTGTTTACAATTATACTGCTTGTACCTCCATACGAAAATTCTAATTCTACATATCATTGCCATCAAACTGTGCTTTTCAATCGATATTGGGACATTGGCTATTTGTTAAAATTTCTATTTGTGTATTTGCTCATGTTTGTTTCTGTAATTGTCAGTGCTACAATGGCTATCTTTGATGTTGTGCGACTGGTGAGGGCTGATGTTTCAACCATTGCACTCGGTATTGCAGCATCAACAGCTTCTATAATCCTAGGTGGTGGCACCAAAGGCAAGCGTTTGGCTATGCCAAATGCTAGAATTATGATACATCAGCCACTTGGAGGTGCTAGTGGGCAAGCAATTGATGTTGAAATTCAAGCTAGAGAAATCATGCATAACAAGAACAATGTAATAAAGATTGTGTCTGATTTCACTGGTCGATCAGTCGAACAGGTTGAAAAGGATATTGACAGGGATCGTTATCTCTCACCAATTGAGGCAGTTGAATATGGCATCATTGATGGGGTTATTGATAAAGACAGCATCATCCCTCTTGTACCACTTCCTGAAAGGGTTAAACCGTCAATTTTAAATTATGAGGAGATCAGCAAAGATCCCAGAAAATTTTTGACACCGGAAATCCCTGACGACGAAATATACTAGTTGTAACTTTACGGGTAAGTTGGATTTCATTTATATAATCTTATGGATTCACCAGAAGTTTCATTTCCGTCTAGTCTTTTGTGTTCTCAACAATATGAAATCACTCACATTCTTGGAAGAAAGAGTGAACTAATGCTTGCATCTGTCCAGTTGTTGGAGGAAATAATGTTTCTTGTTTGATGACTTGGCTAAAAGCTGTGGTACTAGTCTTTATTTTACAATAAATTACGAATCTTCCCTTTTTTTTCTTGCTGTTTGTATGTTGATGGTGTAGAAGCATGATACAGATCTCCCGAGGCCTTTTGATTAGACCCATCAAATTCTTAAAGTATTGCAAATGGAAGATACTCTGAAGATTTTTGTTTACCTGGAATGTAACATGCCAATATTTGGTGAATCAATATTGTTATGTGGGTTGTAACAGGGTGGTTATTTTCGTACTGTAGTGTGGTCGGCATCATTGATTTGTTTGGAATTCTTTTCTCACCCTTAGAACAATTTATATTGGTGGCTAAGATGCTTGCAGAAACATAATGTGGTTTTTAACTACTATTGTACGGATTCTCCTGTTTGTTATGTTAAGTTCATTACTCAGAATAGGGCTAAGTGGATCATAGGTGCTTGCGTACTGGAACTTTACATGTTGAATGACTACAGAAACTGCTACACTGCTGTCTTTAGTGGTAGTCAAAGTTGGCATATTAAAATACACTCGCTGTGTTGAAAATACGTCCTGAGAAGGTTATCGACTGACCCCTGCAGGACAAAACTTGCTTTCAGATTTTTAAGAAGCTGAGCTGGGCACGTTATTCTGTATCAAAGTTGAGAGTTTAACAGTTCAGCGGGTGCTCTGGCTTTATTTCTGCTGTGTTGACAAAGACAGCACAATCCTACTTTAAATGGTGAAGTTTTCATTGAAGTAAACAGCCGAATGCAAATAGCTCCCTTCAATGTTCGAACTTGCAAATTGCAATTCCAGATGATGATAGATCTTGTATGGATGTATTCTGCTCATGATTTATTTTGTAGAACATAGAATATTTATGGTCTTGAAAGCTCATTATAACTTCATTTGCTACGTTAAGACCCCTGTAATGTAATTCTTGTAATGCCCGTGTTTTGAATTTACGTAGTCGTAGATGCATCATTGGTGCAGCCAACGGTTTCTTTTCAATCAATCCTTGTATGATGTATATCCTTTTTGGTCTGAGCTCACGAAACCAGTTGGGACGATTTCTAAGGGAAGTATCTGTAGCAAAGGATTTGGAGTTAACTGGGTCCTTTTGGACTTAGGTGAGGTTCAAGAGAAAAACATATTGGGATAGACAATTAACTTTATGTGTTGATGATGATAAATGATCAATGATTCAAAGGGTTTCGCAAATCGGGAGTATCATTCAGACCAAATGTTGAGAATGAGACTTTTTATTGTTTTTTGTTCATATTTGCAGGGCGTTAACTCGATCATATATCGTATACCAGGCTTGGGGATTGCACGACCCCGGTAAATTTGCAGCCACCTAAATCAAGTCACTTACCACTTTTTATGGAAACATTAACACAATCCTACTGAGAAGTGATAATTTTATTTTTGAAAACATACATTATCATCCTATTTCTTCCTCTTTCAACTGGCAATGAAAATTTATTACCCCATTTTCATACGGAATTTCATTATGTTCATTGATAATATATTATGGGATCAAACTCAAAGAAATATATAATAATTAAATATAATCAAATGTCATCGTGCATGTGAATGTGTAGAATTCTAATCACATAAACACTGTCACATACAAAAAATAGAAATAATAATAATGAGGTGGTACTCAAATTACATTCTCATACCACGTATCTCTACAAGATTTCTCCTATTGACATCTTTCTTACGATTTTCTACCTCTCATTCACATATTTCTCTTTCTAGCACACTAAAGACCGTCAACTGACCGCCCCTGGTGCCTCTCTTCTTATACTTTTAATCTGTTGCAAAATTCTTATTCTTCTTCTCTGTTGCAAACTTTGCTTCTTCACTCTTTTAAGGATGCACCAATTTGGTCTCCGTCTAAACTTTTGGCATACTAAAAATTAAAAGAAATGGCCAGTCCCATCCGTTATAGTTGTATTTATTTTGACCATTGTAATATAACTTCATGTTCAAAAGAGAAGTTGACGAACTCTAAAAAAAACTTCCATCTCATCTTGTATGAAAATATATTCTCAAATCAACATTCCATATGGAGTGGATCTTCTTTCTTTTACTCGAATGTAACGGCACAATCCAGGTTTAGTTACACACTTAGTTCATCTGTACAATTATGTAAATTATTATCATATTTACTTAGTTCATCTGTACAATTATGTAAATTATTATCATATAAATATGTGTAAAACTGTATAAATAAAATTCTCCAGTTTTAACTTAAATTTTGCTTACCAAATTCTCCAATATAATATAACTTCATGTTCAAAAGAGAAGTTGACGAACTCTAAAAAAAACTTCCATCTCATCTTGTATGAAAATATATTCTCAAATCAACATTCCATATGGAGTGGATCTTCTTTCTTTTACTCGAATGTAACGGCACAATCCAGGTTTAGTTACACACTTAGTTCATCTGTACAATTATGTAAATTATTATCATATAAATATGTGTAAAACTGTATAAATAAAATTCTCCAGTTTTAACTTAAATTTTGCTTACCAAATTCTCCAATATATATATAAATATTCTCACTAATTTTAACTTAAATTTATGTATACATAAAATTCTCCAATTTTTTCCCCAGGGTTTGAATTTTCAAGTTTTGAAATTAAGGGCATTGAACTCAAAATTAGGCAAGTTGAAAAGGTTATTAGCATTGGGACATTGCAAAGTCATATTAGAACGGTAATACTTCTGAATAAACAAATAATTCATATTGAGTTTTTAAATTTGTACAAAAATTAATATAAATTTCAAAATTTAATATGGATTATTTTTTTTTTTTAAAGAGTATAAAACATTCGATGTTGAGTTTCTGGCTTGCTACACAATTTATGGACGCCTAAAACCAAGTAAAATACGCCTTTTTTTTTTTTTTTTTCTTTCAATTGTTAAAAATAGTAGTCCAAATATTAGTAAGTAAAATATGGCTTCCTTTTTTTTTGGGGATAAATCACCACCGCTCCCTGCCACCGTCGTCGGCGGTTCCTCAACCGTGAGTTTTTTTTTTTTTTATTAATATAACTTTTTTGGACTTCTGAATTCCTAACCTTTCGGGACAGAGTAGTCTTCTGCTCATAAACCCCTCTAGAACCCCACAAGAAGAAAAAAGAAGCTGCCTGCCTACATTTCCTGCTCTCTCTGAAATCCCAACCTCCATAATCTCCCAGATAAATGGGAAAAATCTCTGCGTTTCACATTCAGAAATTGCATACTCCATGGTATTCTCCTTGAAGGCAATACATTTCTCGCTTAAGCCCATTCAAAGATTCATTCTTTCTCGCTCCTTTTCGGGCTTCACCCCATTGCCCGAACCATTATTTTCTGAAATCAAAGCAGCATTTAATCGGGGAAATCTCAGAGCTATCGACCCAAAAATTGTATCCCAAATTCAACCCTTTCACGTGGGATCAATTCTATATGGCCTTCGCTCTAAACCAACTTCGGCAATCAAGTTCTTTCAGTGGTCTGAGACTGTCCTTGGGTTTAATCACACAATCCAGTCTCATTCCTTACTCTGTCACTTGCTGTTGCGTAAAGAACGTTTTGATGATGCTAGATGGGTTTTTGTTAGAATGGTTCAGAAGTTTGGGGATTTTGATTGTGCCTCTGTTTTTGACGAGGGAATTGAGCTTTACAGGTCGAACAGGAGCGCTGTGTTTAGCTTTCTGGTGGAGGGTTACTGCAGAATTGGTTTGATTAACCGGTCAGTTCAGTTGTTCTTACAATTATGTAAAATGGGTATTCCTGTTTCGTGCCATGCATTGTCAAAAATGTTGAATCTTTTAATTGATTCAAGAGGCTTGGATATGATATTAAGTATCTGCAAAGGCGTGGAGAATGTGTTAGTTGGAGAGTCTAGGCAGTGCTTTGATATCTATGGTTATGTGATGAATGGTTTCTGCAAGAACGGTGATGTTACTGTTGGCTTACAGTTTCATCGGAGGATGGTTGACGGTGGTTTCGTTCCTAGTATTGTATCTTGTAACAAAATGTTGAAAACTATTTATCACAGTGCTAACTGTATAGATTTGGCTAATGAATTGTTCTTGTTATTACTTGAATTAGGACCAGAGCCCAATGTGGTGACTTTTAGCACGCTAATTAATTACTACTGTAAAGAGAAAAAGTTGGAGGAGGCATTTAAGCTATACGTCTTAATGCTAGGGAAGGGTATAGATCCAGACCTTGTAGTGTATAGTATTTTGGTAGATGGGCTATTTAAGGCTGGAAAGTTTGAAGAGGGATTTGAGCTTCTCAGGATATCTCTTCGGAAAGGAATTAAATTGGATGTTGTGATCTTTAGTTCGGTTGTTGATGCTCGTGTTCGAGGTGGAGATGTTGAAAGGGGGGCTTTAGTATTCAGGACAATGTTGAAGGAAGGGGTTCACCCTAGCATCATTACCTATGGCATTCTTGTAAATGGCTTGTGTCAAATTGGACGGGTGCTGGAGGCTTTTGGAGTTTTTGGTTGGATGCTAAAAAATGCGAGCGAACCATCTCTCTTTCTTTATAGTAGTCTAATTGATGGCCTTTGTAAGTCAGGGGATCTTAAAGGTGGAATTAGCTTGTATTGGGATTTACTTGGGAAGGGCCTAACACCTGATGTTGTAGTATGCAACGTGCTAGTAAATGGTCTTAGCAAACATGGGCGAATGCATGATGCTACGAGATTCTTCTATCAGGCGGTGAAGAGTCATGCAACTCCTAGTGTTTATATGTTCAACACCTTACTTGATGGTTGGTGTAGATTAAAACATGTAAATAATGCAGTAAAAGTGTACAGGCAAATGGGCACTTATAGTGTACTTCCAGATATAGTGACTTATACCACTCTGATCAAATTTATCTCTCAACAAAACAAAGTGGGGGAGACACTAGCTTTTTTCTTCAACTTGCTCAAAATGGGTTTCTCTCCAGATATTGTATCATATTGTGCTCTGACTGACGGACTCTGCAAACAGAACAATCTGACTGCTGCATTACGAATTTTCTCCCTCATGTTAAGTAATGGAGTAAAGCCTGATATAGCCATCTACAATGTTCTTATTCATGCATTTTTTGTTGAAGGTAAGTCAAAAAATGCATTGGAGCTTTTTAAGCAGGCCTCTAAGAATGGACCAGAACCAGATATTGTGACCTATAATATTGCCATTGATGGCTACTGCTCCATGAAAATGTTGACCGAGGCTGTTGAACTTTTTGAAGAGCTGAAATTCAAGGAGATAAGATTCAACACTATTACGCTTACTATTTTAATTAATGCATTTTGTAAAGAAGGAAGAATGGATGATGCAATCTCTTTGTTTTCAATGATGCTGGAGGAAGGTCCTGTACCTAATGTAGTCACTTATAGTTCTTTGATTGATGGCTACATTAAATCCTTCTGTTTAGAAGATGCTTTCAAGCTGTATGAAGAGATGCTTGGGGATAAGGTCTCTCCAAATATTGTGAGTTACAGCATCCTAATTGATGGTCTTTGTAAAAGAGGTCGTGTGCATGAAGCGTCTGAAATCTTTTCGGCTGCTCTAAACAAGGGGTTGCTTGCTGATGTGGTAGCATATGGGATTTTGATTCTTGGCTATTGCAGAGTTGGTAGGTTTGTGGAAGCCACATCTTTGTACAACAGCATGCTTAGAGATGGTATCATGCCAGATAGTGTCATACAAAGGACATTGGCAATTTATAATCTTCATAATGGTTCAGGGACGCAAGTAGATAATGCAGTGGAAGGTAAATAGAAGTAACACTCATTGGAAACTTGTAATTTATTCATTTCCTATAACCCGTGATTGGAAATTTTATGGGCGTCTTATTCTCTTTTACCATACAGCACGTCGATTTATAGCATACTACAGTTAAGGTTGCACTTGTGTCTTGGTACCCTGCAATGTAGCAACGTGGAAAAATAAAAGATTGGATATAGTAATTTTCTTTGAAATTTTGTTCCCTCTTATAGTTTTTGCATTGAATATCTCTTGCATGGTGCTCTCTTTCATGTCTCTCTATCTCATCTCACTTTCTAAACTTGCTTTGGGCATTTTCCCTAATCCAGCGAACTTTCACTGTTGTTCTAAATTTACTCTGCCTGAATTATTTTGACGTTGGAAGATTTGTAAGTTTATGGTATATTCATTCTTCTGTAGGAATTTATTCTTCAATCACTTTTCTGTTTAACCAGTTTGCTTTATTATTCTTTCCTCCCCTTGTTTTCTGTGATTTTCTTATACTTTCGGTGGCATCGTTCTGTGCTCTTCCTAGCTGATTAGTAACTTTGTGATAGGAGTTGGCATTACCTGAAATTTCTCAGAAGTGTTTTGCAACTTGCAATAATATGATCAAAAACTTATTTGTTTTGTGAGTTGTATTGCATCATCTGTACCATCTGCTTCCATATTCAGATTATGGTTTGAACTTGGATAGATGCATTACGGCATAACTTCCATCTGTCCTTTTTACAATAGCATATTCTGTAGAAAATAAATAGATAGGTATCATGATGCTTGTTTTTTTTCTCCCTTCCAGAAGCACAGTTGGATGATCTGATCCTTGTGATGTTAGCTATCTGATTAGCTGTATTTGAGAGCAATCTTGATCATTTTAATGTTAGCCTATTTCTGATGTTGAACTCAAAAGATTAGTTCTTAGGCATCAATATTAAGCAGATTTGTCAGGGGAGCACTAATCCTGTAACAAGACGTCAGAAGGAGAATAGAATAACTTGGGATCAGAGCCTCTCATAGATGAAAAAAATAATTTTGTGCAAATTAATCTTGAATGTGACATGATTGTATGGAAAATTGATACTTATGCTTGAGTGTTTTCAGCATATGTTATGGTAACTGAAGACTACCTTTTAGTGTTTGGGATTTTTCTGTACATTGTTATTGCGGAATGTCGGAAGTTTATTTCAATTGACATGCAAGCTCAATCTGGTACTTCTATAGCTCAGTTCCAAAAGAAGAAAGAAGAAAAGAAAACATCTCTCGTGAGATAACTGACACTTTTGTGTTAAAATACATCTATTCTTTTTACTTAGAGTTTTATGGTTAGAATAGTTTGAAGATATTTCTGACAATCTATTTTATTCCTTCTTTTTTTTTTTCTTTTTTGTTGTTATTTCTGGTTTACACGAGGTTGCAATCTCCCAGGCTCTCTCCCATTCCCAAACTCCCCACAAAAGATGTTTCTGATGTGTTTGGCAGACTCTGCTCAATTTTTTTTTTTGCTTTGTCCTTGGTACTTTGCCCTCAGGAAATGCTTATGTGGTGCTTCAGAACTCGTAAACTTTGGAACTTTGGTCGCAGTCCAAGAACTAATGGTGTGTCAATTCCTTCGAAAGCTACCTTTTTCATCGCCTATACAATGGCCAATGATTTGGCAGGTATTACTACTACGATTCTACATTTGAAGCTTTTACTCATATTACAATTGAAGAAAATACTTATTTGAAAAACGGAAAGGGGTAAAAAGACTAAATGGGGCCTCGAGAGCGTAGATTTTTCCAAAAAACTCTTTTCATTACATGTACCCCTGCTTGGACTTTTGTATGCTGTAGTGTCTCTAACGCTTGTAATTTTATACCTTTTATATGGCTCTTCTTCTGTTTTCCATACTTTGTCTATTGCATTTTGATCTTGGCTGCTCATTTTGTATTTTAGTTACGAAACTGGGGAAGGGGGAGGGGGTGGGGGTTTGTATGCCTGTTTCGTGAATGCCTGGTGTAGAGCTTAGACAGGCATATATAGACACTTCAGACTTACAAGACTAAGGGTAGCCTGACTTAAAAGAATGGATGATGTAAATTTAAGAGTTCCATACTAGCAAAAACTATGAGTTATCATACAGATGGCTACAATAATGGGAAGCCTCCTGCACATTTTCATCTCTTACGCACAAATCTTGCAGAACTGATCACTCAAACTTTTAAGTTTAGAAAGATTTAGAGCCTATCTGAATTTATTTGTCTTGACTGAAAAGTATGGGTGAACTGAACAAGTTTAGAAAGATTTAGAGCCTATCTGAATTTATTTGTCTTGACTGAAAAGTATGGGTGAACTGAACAAGTAAATTGCTGCTGCGGTGGAATATATTCTCCAGGTTTTGTGCAGCTAAAATCAAAATTATCTCAAATATGTTACATGCAACTTGGTGAGTTATATTCTGTCTTTTTTCTCTGCTTTACTGCTAATAATGAATGTGTTCAACCAACAACATGAGAGTGCACATGTTCCTCGTATCATTCGGAGCTTATTGATGTGCAACTCCTGTTGGGTTTGTCTTAGCACCAAAAAGGCTGCGATACTCCTTTGTTAACATTGTTACCTGCATTACTCTTGGCTTTCCTGCAGTAGCATTCAAGTAGTACCTACTTGAGGTAAGCTCCATGATTGAGCAGTTTCTGGACTCCATGCCTAAACTGTTCCATCTCCGAATACATGATATCCTCCTAGTGCATCATTATTTCTTTTGCGGAGGCCATTTAATTTGGAAATGGGATTCTCTTCTATCCTTGCTGATTTGCTAAGCTTTTCTCCCTCAATGCTTACTTTCCATTAAGTTAACCCCTATTTTGAGAAACTAATTCCTAATCTCAATTTGGATTCCGAAAGTTATTGAATTTCATGGAGTATTTGAGCCATCTTCATTGGGCAGTCTATTACTGTATGTTGCTTAGCAATTTTGGTGAAAAAACACTCTGAGTCTGAGACCAGAGTTGAATAGAATATGTAGAATTACAGAGAATAAAAAGTTTCAAAATTATCAGCTATGTTCTGGACCTGAGAGAAATGGTTCCTCTGATGTGCCCCAGTCAAAACTAGGAAAATCAGGTTATGACTAGACTGGGATGATCTGTAAAACTTTTTGATACAAAGGCTGAGTGCTTTGAGGACTCTGATGAGGATTTGTACCATCGGTTGATTAGCAGCTCTAAAATATTAGAATTTTGGATGCCGCTTCAAGCTACCATGCCTTCATCACCATCCCCCTGGTTTTAAGTTATTTCTAAGAAGTTCTTTTGATGAGGAGGTCAAAAGGTGGCCAATGCTGCAGGACACATGATTTCTTTTTGGGCTTATGAAGCATCAACACAAACTTTAATGTTCGTCATAATAATTTGTGGGATGACACCCCTGCTCTAAATACGAAACAAGAACATGCGGCGTTCTCCTATTTACATCCTCCTTCCCCTCAGCTTTTGACAATCTTAGACAACCAGCAAGGATCATCGTTTGTGAACTTTATGGTAAATGTTTTCTGGAAAGTAATACCATCGTCCAAGGTAGTATTTGCAAGCAAAACATGGGGAGGCCTGTTGCTCACTAGACTTGAGAGGAGGAACATTTCATCCTTAACGGATTGATGTAGAACTGTAGTATTTGCACATTTGATGCATATACCTGAAGTTCCAAAACTTAATGTGTACCACTATAAAATATTGCATACTGGAACAACATTTGGAGAATCTGAGATTTTATTGAGTGAAGTGCTATCTTTCTCTGAAGCATGTGCTATGTCTGGGGACAACAGAGTATCCAAGTCTTTCTCATCGTGTTAGTTGCAGAATAAAGTGATGTTTGAGTCGTGCTTGTTGTAAAACACACAGCTATGATCTGCCAATTATTGGGGTTGGAAAATAGTGCCTGTATCAAAAAGCCTTGTTTCTAAAGTTTTGCTTCTTGTTATCATTGCTTGCCGGAGAAAGCATCATTCTTAGTATATTGATTTTGAAGTTGTTTTAAACTTTTGTTTCATGGGCTTTCATTTTAGGTGCTTCACTGTCGTTTGGCAGAGCAGGCACGACCTTTTTAAACAAGTTCAGCAACCAATAAAAGGTTCTTTTTGCTTCATGACATCGAGTCAAGAATTCTCCTTTCTTTTTTCTTGATTCACTGGTTTGTTTTTGTACATCTGGGATAGCGCTAAATGACCACTTTTTTGCTTTCCTTGTTTTTTTAATTCAGTTAGTAGTGGACTTTGTATCATTGAAAATGATGGGTGGAGATGAATGTGGTCTTCGATTTTAGTTTGAGCTGACAAAAGGAATCGCAGGCGGCAATAATTTTCTAAACTAGTCTGGCCAGCTGAGTCGGCTGCTACGAAGGAATTGCTGTCCTCCTCCAAGATGGCCTGGAAGAAACAATCTTTTAGTTGATTTTTGTCAACTTTCGTACCTGTTGTTTATTGCAAGCATTATATGATTGTACCAGGAACAAGAGCAATGGTGGTATATATGGTTCCTGTCTTGCTGATGGCAATTTATCCACCTGGGAATTAGGATAACAGATTCTTCCCGTCCATTTCACTAGCCCAGTACGTTATACTACTAAAAAACCACAACAAAGTAAATTATTAAAATGAGATGGCGGAGATAGTTAAAAAACACCTCCTGAGATATGTCTATGCAAGTGATGGTCAATTTCTTTATAAAAAAAGTGATGGTCAATTAGTTCAAGACCAATTCTGAATGTTGGAATGTTAGTATGCTAAAGTAGTCAGAAAGAATGTTTGATTCATTGCGATGTATAGAGAACTCAATGCATATACTCACAATTGATCATTCAGAGTGTCTTCTTCAAAATAAAGAAGCCTGAGAGCTGAAATTAACCCTACAACAAGATCAACAAATGAATACTTCATCTGTTCCGTAGAATAGGTCAAGAGATATGAATGTTATTTTGGGACAGATAGAGTAATTGTGCTTGTTGGTGCACTTCATTCCTCGGTATCCTAGACGTCAGAAGTTAATAATTTTATATCCTAATTAAATACTGAATTGTATATTCAAAAAACTTTTTTTAAAAAATACTCAATTGCTTGTGGACTTGGTCTTGTCTACTAAATTCCAAGCCGTGTTCACTGTCTCTCCCCTTGAACTTGTTGTCTAATTTCACTGTTTTTTAATTGTATTTTTAATACTTCCACTATTTGGTTCTTCGATGTCTTTGTGGTACATCCGGTTCCAAATTACGTTTGCTTATGATAAAAATATGCTTGAAAACAAGCTTTTTGTGGTTTCATAGTGGAACTTGTGCAATCTTAAAGTCTGAATTAAAAGATGAATTTGTTATACTGTTTTTGCCTATTTGGTGAAAGCATGTTAGAAGCACCTGTTCTTCTCTATTTCAATCTTCAAAATCTATTTCAAACTTGACAAACAATAAAAATTGAATCATTTATTCTACACACCCGAGAAGCACCAGTTCTTCTCGATTCTAATGTTCAAAATCTATTTCAAATTTGATAAACAATAAAAAATTGAGTGATTACTATACCTTGAACAGGTTTAAGTAATAATAATAACAATCTGTATTATTTTACACACAAAATAAATAAATTAATTTGATAATTAGAGGCGTCACTGTTGACACTACCACACTAAAAGTTATAAATATATATATGGCCGGCATCACAAACACAACCACTATGTATTGCTTTTGCCGGTTTAACGTCAATGTTAAACTTATTTTAATAAGTATTTTCCGTGAAATTCCAGTGAACCGCTTTTTCCCTGAATTTGGATACTGATATTGACAATAATAGTAGTATATTATTTATGTCCCCCAAAATAATCCAAATTGAATTTCGAAACTTAATTATTTAGCAGAGAAAAAGTAATATAAACATAGTGCGAGAAGCCGAGTAGGGAACAGCAAGGAGAAATCAATTTAGCAAGTTTGTTACTTGAACATGAGTTTGATAAGTACTTCCTCTCGTACTTACGTCCTTAATATAAGTCATTTTGATTTGTCTTAAATTTCATCTAGTATACTTTTTTTAATTAAAAAAAGATCTTAAAAATATATTTTCACATTCGTTGTGTTCTTCTTATTGTTAGGAAATATTTTTAAGATTTTTTTTATCAATTTAAATTTCGTACTATGTGAAACTTAGGACAAATTAAAGTGGCTTATCTCAATTTAAGATTTTCTTTATGAAAGGAAAAACAAGGAAGGAGTAAACATTTATAATCCTATGATTATCAATAATTTGAGAATTAAAAATTATCGTTTCTTAAATTGATAGCACTGTTCTATATAGGACAAAAATGAACTTTATTGGTCTAGCAACTTTTCAAACTTGCAGACTAATGATTTTTTAAACTTTGATTTATACTCAAATGTTTATAATCGCCTTTAATTGACTTTTTATGCAAAATGAAATGTATACTGGATTATGACTAAAAAAAATTCGAACTTGTTCGTCAATTCGGCAAATTCAAGACAACGTTTATCTAAGGAAGTCTCCAAGACTAACTTTTATTCTCTTTGTTCAAAATTTCCACAGATGGAATTCAAAATTCTTTTAGTTGAACTATTACTATATCTACAAAGTTGTCATGCTAAGATAATGCAATTTTTTGCAAAAATTTAGTTCTCTCCACTATACTAGATGATTACTTGACACTTGTGGATTTTGTGAAAGAATTTATTTTTACTTTTATTAATTCTTTTTGTCTTAACTGTTATACATTAATAGTTTAAAACTTGTGAAGTGATATGTCATTCGATATTCGGATATATGATTAATTGTACATATATACAAACCCTAAGGAGACTTTCTCATTCCCTTTTATGAACCTAGTAAGTTAGTAACAATCTTTGGGAAGGATGAGACAATTGGAGCTTTATTTGGCAATAAGGTTTGTGTTTAAATGACCTTAATTTATTGTAACCTTAAAGTGTTTAGATGGTCTCAAAAAGGTTGAGAAAATGAATTTGTTATATCTTGTTAAGTAACTGGAAATGTAAGTATGGCAGCTGGTGCACTTCATAGATGATTTTCTTAACTTTCTTAGAATGAGCAAACTCCAGAAACGGACAAGTATATGTGAATGGAATCTTAATCAAGGTGCTTTCTTTTAGATGCCCTCCATTTATGTTTTGATTTAGTTTATTTCCATACTCAAGTCCTTAGTGTAAAGTTTTTTTTTTTTTTGGGTTCAATCATTCCATATCATTATGGTCAAATAAGAAGCTCAGAACAAAATGTCATTTGAAAGTGACATTAATGCTATTATTAGTAGTAATCGCTTTCATGACATGCATAAATTAATGGCCTTGAAGTTTTCTTTGCTGATTATGTAAGAGTAGTTAGGATTTTAGCTCTTAGCTTCTTGCATTCGTCAAGCTTGTTGTCAGCCTTAACTCTGTCATCTATAGTTGACTGCACAGGGACCTGAAAAATTTTGTTTCAACTTGTAGCTTTGAGTTTGAATCTTTCTCTGGAGTTTCCGTGTTCGAAACCTTAATTTAGTTTGTGGGATTTTGCATGTAAGCGCAGCATAGTTCAGTTTTAGGTGAAAGGTTTTGTGCTCAAATAGATGAAAGTAGCATAGTAAGCAGACCTAAACTGATCATTTCAGTGTTGGTGATATTGATAACTCGAAGAAGTTGGAGAAGGTATCTTCAATGGAGTTGGAAGGAAGAGGATATTCTGATTTGCTTAGGAACACAAGTGAAGAACTGTTTATCAAGACCATGATGGAGAGCACAATTGGGATGCCAGCTCCAACTATGGAGATGCTAGGATTCAAGAATCTAAGTCAGAACTTCAGAACCGATAGCGAAGAACTGTTTAAGAGCTGGCTCACAACTGGAGAGGCAAGAATCTAGTTCATGTTTTTGTTTTCCTTTTGTGTTTAGTTTCCCAATGTCATTTTGCAAATAAACAAATTTCGGTTCTATGCCTGAATGAATGAATGAACTTCCACAGCTTTTTCACTCTATTGAAACTTGCAGTTGTTGCTGACTAATTTTCTTTTGTTGCAGAACAATGGCGGTAATTCAGGCATAACGCATCGTACCAGGCAAGCATCAAGGAGGTTAGTCCATCTGCACTAGAATCAGTTTAGCATAATTGAACAGAAGAAGCTGATTGCTTTTCTCAAATTTTTCATCTTTTAAACTTAAAACTCACGGTTTCAAGTAACTATTTGCCTATTGTACACCCATTATGTGATGTTCAGGATCTCTGCCGAAGCATCAAATCTTTCTAATCAACAAGGCATGGGAGCGATCCAAAGGAAAAAGAGTGATGACAACTTATTCCCACAAAATACTTCCCTAGCTGGAAACTCTTGTGAACTCAACCAACAACAGTCCAGGTACTACTATTTCGAGCATTCTGTAATTAGTTCTTTCAGTATGCGTAACATTGCCGGGATTTGCCGTTTCTGTTGTTTTAAGCTGTCTGAGTGAAGTAGTAAACTGGAAATTAGCATTAAAGTGGTGTCTAAAACAAGACTCTGGTTTGTTTCCACTTTGAAATGAGATCAACCTAATGCTTCCTTCAGGGTTGTGTTTTATGTTGCCATTAAAACTTTTGAGGGGGATATCATATCATGGTGGTTAGATTTGATATTTTGTAATAACTTCTCCATTACGTGGAATTTACTTTTGATACTCTGATCTGATCTGATCTTTGACTTCTGCACAAATTCTATTCAGGAATTCTGCTGACAAAGCTTTGCAAGCGAGCAACTTGTTTCTTGCTAAGGTTTGCATCTTCACTCTGCAGTATACATTGCTGTACCACACTATCTTACTAGGATCTAATGTGGATCTTGATATACAGGCCTGGTTTCATAGTTCCCAACCTATGACAAGAAGTCGTTCCTCGGAATTGAGGTAACATAATCATCATTCATAATGTGTTAGTATAACAAGCAGTTCCAATATAACTGAATTGAATTTCTGCTTAAGATTTCTTTTGAATTCATTTTGACTGACGTGCGATTTTCCTATTTTTGTGAAAGGAGGAGGTATGTCGCCCAACAGACTTTTCAGCCAGCACCTAACATAGAGACAATGCCTAACATATCCGAGAATGGCATCAGCAACTTCAAACAAGAGTATAACAATCCAAGTGGATTCAGTAATGGGTCAATGTGTGAGCCAAATCAGATAAACCTGTATACTTCGCCATCCAACTCCTCGTCGTCCAACTTCAACAATTCACAAATGGGGAATGTTGATAATATATCTTCTGTCGTGAGCATGCTAAAGGGCACATTAGAGCGTAAGAAGCTCTGTAGCCCCGGCGAGCGAGAAACCACTGAAGATAGCTCTTTTGGATGTTATGGTCCCGAAGATGTTTTAGGCAATTCAGGCCTGATTCAAGGCCAAGCGCATCATATATATGAGATGCCAGGAACATTTCAAGATTTATCCACTGTTCAAGTATCAGAAGCTGGCATTCTACAAACTGGTGAAGGGTCGTATGGGATTAGCTTAAGAGGAATGGTTGGCACTGCTAATGCAATGCAAATGAGTACGGTATCACGAGAACCTTCACAGAGTGAATCCTCAGCACCTGTAGTTTCAACTGGTTTTGAGGTATGCGACGGCCCAAGCATCTCAGGTCAAGCTCCTAGTGTTTGTGAAAGCTCAAGGAAACAAGTTGGAAATGGTAGGAATTCAGAATATAGTTCTCAAGGGTCATATCGTTGATCATTCAACTAGTGTAAAATAATAACAGTCTGAAAACTAAATTCCATTTTATACAACTGTTAGTGTATTTACTTACATTCTATATCTGCTTGACCATATACAGATGCCAGACAAAGCACGTTCGACAGCAAAAAAGATGATCGAAAGGTACGCCCTAACTATTAAAACCTGCTATCTAATCTGTGGGAATTTGCCAATATATTTCTCATTGAATTCTGTACTTTCTGTTGCATTATTGACAGAAACAAGGTTTAGTTCGCTATGGATCGATAAATTCAACCGGATCAGGTAGTTAAATCTGTTAAACTCTAATGAACCTTTTAGCATTCTTACCTTCCGGCCTGTCCTTTCTTATCTTTCTGAAAGTTTATCTCTACCACAAACATTAGATTTTTCGAACTATCACATTTCAAAAAGTTTCTAGTTCTCCTAATCACAATATAAAACAAACAAGTTTTCTCCAAAAAGAAAAAATGTTTTCTCCCACAAAAATTCACAGTAAACGGTATCAATGGTTTGTTGATCGTATCAAATTTTTCAGGGGAACCAGGGGATCCCACAAAGAAGCGCAGGGTGGAGAGGTCTCGCAAGTATGTTATACTTCCGACTCTCTTTGAATCTAAACATTCAAAAATGAACTGAGGATGGATACGATAGAAGAGAAAGTTTCTAACTTCTTTTTTTCTTGTTTCTGATGTAGAATGGCGGAAGCCAAAGAAAGAAATTCGACCCCAGTGGTTCCTTCAGATATGCAGTCGATTCTCAAACGTTGTGAGAACCTTGAGAAAGAAGTCCGCTCACTCAAACTGAACTTGTCTTTCATGAATAGGTATTCTAACACAACTAGTGCACAAAAATTGATACAATCTTATTTGCAATCTCCTATGGTTCAATAAGTATTACGAAAGTACTTCTCTATGTGCCAGTATCATATAAGATAGTTAATAATAGTTCACAAAACATTGCAAAACATTTCAGGAAGGATTCAGAACAAACAAAGCAGATCGAAGAACTTCAGAAGCAGAATGAAGATTTATCCAAGGAAAAGGAAAGGCTTCTCGAAGAAATCGAGAGGATTATTTCTGAAACAGCCAAGATGTGATGTTTTGCTGGTTTTTAAGTAGGCTCGTAGACTGCTATCCAATCCTAAACAAACTACAAGGTCATGTTTATTATGAACACTCTTAAAGCAGAATGCTAAATGCACATTATCAATGCTTTCTAATTCAATACAGAGGAGTTTACTTTTGCAAGAAATGGTGGATTGAACTAAGCTTCCTCTATTGCAAGATTCCCTTGCTAGGTATTTTGGGCAAGATTCATATCAGGACGCGACAACAAAATAACAACAGTAATTCTCTGTAGTAATCATCGTGATCGCACGCATTAACTGTATTTCTAAAACACATTCAATAAGTGATATAAAACCATCATCATACAGTCTAAACATCAAGATTTGCAAAAAGAAACGAATACAATAAAAGAATGCGATAAACAATTAGGAAAAGGAGCTTCCCAATTATAGAAGCCTATGGGCTCCATCTCAAAACCAATTGGCAATAATGGGAGTAGCTTATATACTTATATATTGATATCAACTCTCTCCTACCACCGATATGGGATACTCAACACTCTCCCGCAAACCCAAACCGATGTGGGATACTCAACACTCTCCCGCAAACCCAACGTCTCTTCTTGGGTTGGGCTTGTCAGGCCAGCCACCGCCTCACGTCTCAACCTTACCAGTTCTATCACATCAGGCTTGGAGTCCGACTCTTGGCGGGTTGGCTCTGATACCATATAGAAGCCCATGGGGTTCCACCTCAAAACCAATTGGCAATGAGGGGAGTAGCCCATATACTTATATATTGATATCAACTCTCTCCTACCACCGATGTGGGATACTCAACACCAATGTGGACACCAACTTGAATCAATTGTCCAAGGATAACCTTGCGACAGATGAGACTGTTTCACAGAATGCAAGCAAGAAGGAAGAACCAAGAATAATCAGTATCCCGCAACTAGATTTATTTGGAATATGCCAAAGAATTTGAATCTTGCAATCAAAAACAAATTCTTCCTGCATTGCTTTCTCCAGTACATAATATTTATTAGTACTTATAGAAGTTGGTTTTGCAACGAAAACCAGGCCTTGAAATGAAGATTGAATTATGACATTTCAAAGTTCAAAAAAAGAAATCACATCTCTGCAGAGTCATTTGTACCTGAACTAGAATTCATAGACCGCTTCGCTAGGGAAACATGAAATAGAAGTTTGAAACTACAGAGCCATGAAAAGGAGGGACCCTTTCCTCATAGTAAGATACACAATCTTAATTATTCATCCATGCACTTACACTGTACAGTACTTTGTGTTTATATTACATGGAGCCAGACAGTGCGACCAAAACTGTGTATTTTTAATCAGTAATGGAAGTTTGAGGAGTTCAATTTGGGCATCAACAAAGATATGCGAGAAAAAAAATGTAAGTTGATCACCGTATCACCATATTACAATGGCTATCAGGAAAGCAAATTGATGAGTCCATATCCACCCCGGTATTGGATCGGCCCAAAAACCGTGTAAGAGGCCCGACCAATTTCAATAGGGCGGCAATGTCTCTAAACTCTAGAAGGATTCGGTTCCCTGGTTGTATTTATTTGTCTATAAATAGGGATACAAGTTTCATAATTAAGGTACGCTATCTGAGATACCAATAAATACACGTACATAACCCTATTTTTTGACTTAAGTTTCGGAGTGTCTACCCTCGGGAGACGCCCGAGGTTCTGTTTTGCAAGAAATCCTAACCGGAGTTCCACTAATAAAGCGGCAGTATAATTCCAGTCATCGTCAAGTGGCACGTCCGGTGGGACCTGATAACTAGGGTTTGTGTCATCAAGCTTTCTCAAGCTTTTCAAAACCTTTCTGTCTATTCCCATCGCTTTAGGACCAGGATTTTTTGGAAAACAAGATGGTAGTAGTTGACAGCCCTCAATCCAGTGCCGCATCAACTGGAAGACAAACAAGCCCAGAAGACGGCGAAACCCTAGCACACTTCCAATGGAGGCAGAAGTGAAAAAGAAACGACCGATGAACGAGAAAAGAGGACTCTCCCATAAAGCCGACTGACCCGAAAAATCACCGCAAGACCCCTGACACATACCAAAAACAACGACTAGTCGAGCTTGAAGCGGAATTGGAAAAGCTGAAAGACGACAATTCCTTCAATCAAAGGAAAAAGAGATATATTCTCGAAGAATACAAGCGTCGTTGTCTGTTAGGTCTGTCCGACCCTACAGATCAAGATCTGGAGGATTTGGTCGAGGAGAAAAAGGCAAGAAGGACTTTAGATCTTCTCGAGATAAGAAGGGGTAAACGCCCAGTCCTGGATGAAGGAGAAAAGAGGGCTCGCAAAGAAACCCCATATCGTGAAGCTTCCCGTCCCGAACTTTCTGACGCCCCGGGTGATACTTTTTGGGAAGCGCTCGAGAAGACAAACCCAGTGGTTTATAAGACGATCCAACAATTTGCACAAGAACACCAGCAAAAGAGGCGATTCCCGTAGACAGAATCAACCAAGATCACCCAATATCAAGGAACTGCCTAAAAGGGATTGGGAACCTTCAAGAGGCAATGTCCACTCTCGACTCAAATCCAAAATTGCTCCAGAAAAGTCTCGTCATGATTATCGCCAAGGAGGAGATCCTCCGCCTCGACACCAAGAAAATCGAAGCAATCAGGATCCTTCCATTCGCGACTCGATGCGGAGGATGATAGGGATGATCGTGGATAAAAGCCCCTCCATCCCCAGGATTCAAGACTGTCCAAAACCTAAAGACTTTGATTTCCCCAAAGATTTTGCCTGTTATACAGGAGATTCCGATCCACATCAGTTTTTAAACAAATATGTCCAAGTCATGAGAATCCACAATACATCTCTAGACTTCATGGCAAAAGCTTTGCCATTATTTCTCGACGGACAGGCGCAACGTTGGTTTGGACAACTGCCGGAAGGAAGCATCGACAGCTTTGAGAACCTCACAGTAAAGCTAGTTACTCAGTTCTTCCTTAGAAAACAAGTTACAAAGATGTCGATTGACCTGTCATCGATCGGGCAAGGGCACAATGAGAGCCTCTCAGACTTCCATCGCCGTTTTACCCGTGAATCTCTCCAGGTTGATAATCTTGATGAGAGAGACATACGAAACGGATTCATCCAAGGTCTTAATCCTTGGGGAAAGTCCGCCCACCTGCGAGTAAAGTTAACCACCAAATCTCCTCGAAATACGCAAGAGATGTGGGCCACAGTAGAAAGCTATATCCAACGGGAGCAAACAATGAAAAATTTCCAAGAGTCTTTCTCACTTGCAGGGGAGCGAGGAGGGAAAGACAGGTACAAATCTCTAGCAGAGGGTAAGCCATCTCTGCCTAAGCTCGACAGACTGCTTACCCCGTTGTTAAAACCCCGCCGAAAAATACTCCAAATCCACAGAGACGAGTTCCCTGTCCCGAGGCCATTGGCCCATTATCCGAATAGGTCCGCGGATCGGTATTGCGAGTACCACAAGGACCATGGACATGATACAGAAGATTGTCGGGAACTCAAGTGGGAAATAGAAGCAGGAGTGAAGTATGGGAAATTTCAACAGTATGTGCAGAATACACAAGGCAACGTTCGAGGAGACACTCGCGGTCCTCAAGAAAAATCCACTTCACGCAACATCCCTAAGCGAAACAACAATCGTGGTCTCCGCAGGGATAACCGAGGGAGTAATTGGCAGGCAAGGGATATCTCACAGTAACCTGCTCAGCAAACTCTCGATAACAGACCACAGCCAATCTAGTAGGTTCCTCCCATAGATCCCGCTAAGCAGATTACACACAATGTCGGAGCATTTTACGGAGCACCCCTCGAGATTCTGTCGACCACCGCAATGAAAGCCTCAGTTCAACAAGTAACAAAACTCCGCCACAAGAGCCAAGTCACAAGCGGTTTAAAGGGACGGAGGCAATTATCTTCACCGATAGTGACGTCGTTCCTGGGGTTTGTCCCCATAGCGATGCCATGGTTATCGAAGCCATCATAGAAAACGTGGGGGTGAGCCGCGTATATGTCGACAATGGCAGCGCGGTCGACATCATCTACAGTGATTGTTTCAAGAGAATGAACATACAAAATCCAGACTGGCGCCCGACTACCTTACCATTGATGGGCTTCTCCGGGCACACGATAATCCCAAGTGGAATCGCCAGACTTCCAATCACGGTAGGGACGTATCCTCAAACAGTAAATCTAACAATAGATTTTGCTATAATTGATGCTCCCTTGCCGTTTAATGTAATTCTAGAATGGCCGTGGATGTGCCAAGCCCGCGCTGTCTGGTCACCCTACCACTTGGTTATGAAATTTCCAACGGAGTACGGGATAGGGACAGTACAAGGGTGCCAACGTAGTTCTTGAGAATGTCTTCTCACGGCAGTAAAAATTTGGAAGAAAATAGTAAAGTCGGAGCTAGTTGTCACCACATCAGGATGTTATTCGATCCAGCAAGGAGTATCATCGGCTGAGTATAAAGAGGGAAAGCAAGAAACCCAAGACATGGATCTCGATCAACCTCACAACCCTCCACTCAGCAGCAAGACAGAAGAATTAGTCCTAGACGAGAGAGAACCAAAAAAAAAACAATTAAACTTGGTATATCCATCGAAGGAACGTTGCGGGCCGAGGTATTTGCCTTGATACGCGACTTCTGAGACATCTTTGCGTGGTCGCCATCTGATATGACTGGAGTTCTTCGACATATCATCGAGCACAGGTTAAATGTAGATCCCAATGTCAAACCAGTTAAACAGAAGAAAAGGATTTTTGCTCGAGATCGCAACGAAGTGCTCTGGCCCACGTGGTTGGCTAACCCGGTTCTCGTTCGCAAACCTGATAATTCCTGGCGCATGTGTCAAGACTACACAGATCTAAATAAATATTGCCCCAAGGATTGCTACTCTTTGCCCATAATCGATCAAATGGTGGAAGGTATTACCGGTTACAAAATCCTTAGCTTTCTCGACGCATATAAAGGATACCATCAGATTCATTTGGCTCGGGAAGACGCAGAGAAAACGGCTTACATCACGGAGATTAGAGTGTACTGTTACGACAAAATACCGTTTGGGTTGAAAAACACGGGAGCCACCTACCAACGTTTGGTTAATAGAGCTTTCCACAATCAGATCAGAAGAAACATTGAGATCTACGTAGATGACATGGTCATCAAGAGCAACTTGGACAGTAGGGTGGTCGAGGACATGAAAGAGATTTTCACGATTCTCTGAGGAATTA